TTGGGGGGGCTGGAATGGATTTGGGGGGGCTGGAATGGATTTGGGGGGGTTTGGAGGGGATTTGGGGGGAATTTGGGAAGATTTTGGGAGACTGGGAGGGGTCTGAGGAGAAATTTTGGGGTCCAAGGTGGAATTTTGGGCCACACAGAGGATCTGGGGGAATTGGAAAGATTTTTGGGGGATCCAGGAGGGAATTTTGGGGCAGAATCTGAAAATCCTAAAGAAAATTTTTATAAATATCAGAAAAATCCAGATTTTTTGGGAACGGGGAAAAGACCCAGGAAGATTTTGGGGTTTCAGGACAGATTTTAGGCGCTTTTGGGGACCCCAAAATTGCCATTTTTTGCCCCAAAAAGGAAAGTGAAGACCCTGGGGGAGGAGGAGCCCTGGCTGGACGACGCGGCCGCGTGGATCGAGCGCAGCCGGGCGCTCCAGAGGGAGAAAGAACTGGCGGAAAAAAGGGTGGGAAAAAAAAACCCCAAATCCCAAGAAATTCTCAAAACCCAGAAAAAACCAAAATCCCCCAAATTTCAATCAAAAAACTGCATTTTTACCCCAATTTTTAGCGATTTTACAGCTAAAATTCTGATTTTTATGGGATTTTTTGGGGTTTTTCCCTCCTAAAAACCCGGTTTTGTCCAAGATTTTTGGGAATTGTGGAGCTGCTGGAAAATTTATGTTAAATTTTAATATTTTCAATCAAAAACTTCCTAAAAACTACAAAACCTAAGATTATTTTAGAGAAAAAACCTGAAAAATTCAAAATTTTGGGTTTTAAATCTTCCTTTCAAAACAAATTTTTGAGTAAAAATGAGAAATTTTTGAGCCTGAAACTCAAATTATCTCCAAATTTTTAAACATTTGGAATTTTAATGCGATTTTTAGGGATATTCCCTCAAAAAAATCCCTAAAAACGACGATTTGATGCCTTAAATTTCGCTTTCCTGAATTAAATTTCCCCCACGTGGTGCCAAAATGGTGAATTTTTACCCTAAAATCCCGATCCTGCCCCGATTTTTGGGGATTTTGGGGTCGTTTGAGGACCGACCCCGATTTTTAACGACGTTCCCCAAAAAATTCCGGGGGAATTTCAGGAAGAAGCCGACGACTCCGGAGCCGTTTGGGGCCGATTTTAAGCCAAAAATTGAGATTTTCAGCTCGTTTTTTTCCCTTTAATCAAATCCCCCGGGTTCCTTTTGTTTTTTGGGGGTGTCCCCTGCTGTCCCCAAGTGTCCCCAAGTGTCCCCAGACTGGTTTGACCGGGAGGATTTGCAGGCCAAGCTGCTGGAGGAGATGGATCAGGAGTTCGGTGTCAGCCCCTTGGTGGAGGAGGAGTTCCAGCGGCGGCGGCGGGTGAGGGACACTGGGGACGTTTGGGGACATTTGGGGACATTTGGGGACATTGGGGACGTTTGGGGACAGGCCATGACCCCTCTGTCACCCCCCAGGAGCGTTACAGCGCCCGGGACCTGCAGGGGCTGACGGTGGAGCACGACCCGGCCTCGATCCCCGAGGGACAAACGCTGGTGCTGACCCTGAAGGACAGGGGTCAGTGGGGACAGGGGGGACATTTGGGGACATTGGGGACACTGGGGTCAGTGGGGACAGGGGGGACACTGGGGACACTGGGGACACTGGGGTCAGTGGGGACAGGGGGGACAC